GTTCAGTGATTGGATAGTTACAGAAAGTTGTTACTGTTACTTTGTAGTTGAGCTCTATATAAGCAGGTTGGCTGAACGCTTCAGCCTAGTTCTGTTCTGGGCCTGTGAATAAACAAGAGCTGTCTGAAGAATCGCTGTGTCGTCTGATATGTTCACCCACAAAGTAACAGCATCCTTCCATGCCCTGCAACCATGCAAATAGTATTTTGGAATCTTTCTCTTCTCATGCCTCTTTTAAAGGCAGAGTTTCCTCCTACCTCCCTGTTTTGCTTTCTGGCCCCTTCCGTTTAGTCTCAAGTTGTTGCAAAAACGCCCTGGGAAGGCTGCAAACTTCCCAAGTCTTCAGGCCGTCTCTCCGGTGGTCCTCTCTGGCTATAAATCTCCCTCAGTCCAGAGAGACCGGTAATAGGCGACCCTCCTCTCCTGAACAGAGCACGCCAGTCTTCTGGCATGTCATAGCAGAAGAAAGACTCAATTGTAGTTCTAAAACTATCTTATTTACAGTCTTCAATATGGAGACTCCATCAGTATGCCTGTGCTCTTTGAACACCAGTACAGAAAAACTGCGACACATACAGAAGTGAAACTAACTTCCAATAGTACTCAAAGGAAGAGATAATACAGACTTACTTTCTCACGCTCTCTCACTCACATGATGTATACAGTCATAGTGCCACTTGCTGGAGCAGCTCGGACAGATAAAAATCCCAACACAACTATGGACATTTTTCTTCTGTAGCCTTTCTGTTATGTTCCTCTAGGCTCCAGCCTAGCATTGCTCACAAGAAACTAGGAAGGTTTGATGCTTAGTGGTCCCCAGATGTGGCGGCAGATAACTTCATGGACTGAGAAGCACATTTGCGTCTGTGTCACCTCAAAACGTGGAAGGCGTATTTCTAATGGTGGATTTTCCTTGCTGGGATCGAGACGCCTAATGTTTTAAGATTCTATTGATAAAATATTTCTAAGCTGCTTTTATAGTGAAAGATGTCACCGACATATCACTGTTTTTCTGGGGTTTCTCCCTTCCAGGGGTGAACAAAGGCTAACTGACACCCGGGGCAGGGGAAACTGCCGGCTGCGCACGTGTTACGCCACTACGTACAACACATGCGTTGCGCCGCTACATACGCCACATGCGTTGTGCCGCTACGTACGATGCATGCGTTGCGCCGCTAGGTACGACGCATGCGCAGCGTCGCTACATAGGGTGCATGTGCAGTGTCTCAATGTACAGCACATGCGTGCAACACCGCACATGTGTTGTATGTAGTGGTTTGCTGGCGTCGCTGCTCGAACGCTGTACGGATGGTGGCGGGATCCTCTGCTAGCGGCTGAAGCCGTGAACGGAGGATCCTCCACATGCGGTTGAGTGGTGTGAGGGCTGCTTGCACCGCCGCGCCCGGGAACGGCGAGGCAAACACCACACAGGGCGCCTTTTTGTCACCCCCCAGACATGGCACCCGGGGCGTACTCCACGGCCCCCCCCTTGCGACGCCTCTGCTCCTTTCTCACTTGAAATTGGTCCAGGATCCATTTCGTCAGGAAAGATGGGTTACGACTGTTTCCACCTTTAAGGGGGTTTCTGGCCAAGTGTCATGAGCTTGGCTAATGGATCCATTACTTTTAAATAGGTCTACTTTGAGCGACTTGCCAATCAGAAGGTGGGCGGTTCGAATCCCCGCGATGGGGTGAGCTCCCGTTGCTCGGTCCCAGCTCCTGCCAACCCAGCAGTTTGAAAGCACGTCAAAGTGCAAGTAGATAAATAGGTACTGTTCTGGCGGGAAGGTAAACGGCGTTTCAGTGCGCTGCTCTGGTTCTCCAGAAGTGGCTTAGTCATGCTGGCCACATGACCCGGAAGCTGTACGCCGGCTCCCTCGGCCAAGAAAAAGAAGAAGAAGAAGAGTTTGGATTTGATATCCTGCTTTATCACTACCCGAAGGAGTCTCAAAGCGGCTAACATTCTCCTTTCCCTTCCTCCCCCACAACAAACACTCTGTGAGGTGAGTGGGGCTGAGAGTCTTCAGAGAAGTATGACTAGCCCAAGGTCACCCAGCAGCTGCATGTGGAGGAGCGGAGATGCGAACCCGGTTCACCAGATTACGAGTCTACCGCTCTTAAACACTACACCACACTGGCTGTGAGATGAGTGCCGCAACCCCAGAGTCGGTCAGGACTGGACCTAATGGTCAGGGGTCCCTTTACCTTTTACTTTGAGCATAACATGGTTCCATTCAACATAAAGTAGTTTTTTATATATAGCACCCAATTTATATATGTTAGCACCCAATATCGCCATCACTAGTCGCAAACATCCTCATATGTTGTGCATTGTCAAGGAGCTTTAGCATCTCAACCTCAATTCAATGGTTTGTTCCTTCTGAGCCTACAGGGCAATAAAGTACCTTCCCCCTTTCTATGGTCAGACATTTCCTGTGCAGGCTTCTACAGACAGTTTAACAAACTGCAACGGCGATAGCAAGAGCTTAAAAGCCTTTCTTAAAGAATTTACTAAGTATTCAGACCTCCATCATCATCTTGTTAAATTCATTTTATATCTCTAGACGAGTTAGTGAAATATGCATGGGTCCATTGTATTAAAGAGAATTGTATCTTTCAATTGGTATCTGATTTGCACTTTGCAATAACTGCTGATAGTGTCTATACAAACCCTGGACATGATTTGATGTTATTTTATTACCATCCTATTATTCTCCTTTCTAACATGCAGGCAGGTGGTGACTGCAGGTTTTTTGAGTGCTTACTGGGCAATATTTAACATGGGATGTTTTATTTATTAGCATAAAGAGACACAATGGATTGCTGATGATTAAAGGGATGATACTGCTGCCACACTTGTCAAAAATATAGACTTAATTCAATAGAGAGGCGGCAGCTAGTCTCCGCGTTGATCTATGCTGAAGCCAACTGCATCTGAAAGCAGCACTAAGCCAGTCTTGGCCTCTTAATTTTAAGCTCTAGGGCACAGCATAAAAAGCTTGAATTCTTACTAAGTGCCTATAATTGCATGCTACCAGCAATGAAAATACAAGCCAAATTTTCAAAATTGGAAAGTGTTAAGCTTTTCCGCCACGGCCCAATTCCAGAATAAACAAACACACAAACGGATTTTTAAAAACAAAACATCACATTGGTTGGAAGGGAGATTTGGGACCTTGTCTTTAAATATAGATTATTCCCTTTAGGCAATTGTAGACACTGTAATGGGATATAGCGGAGAATGCGGTATCTTAGATACACAGGAGCCAAACCGTTTAGGGCTTAAGATCAACACCTGGAATTGTGACCAGGTTCCAGGAAGCCAGTGGCAGGCCCCGGAATATGCATGTTGTAATATGCTCCCAGCAACATGTTGCTGCGGCGGCAGCCCCTGAGTTCTTTATGCTGAGCACATCACGCTACAGTGGTGCTAGGAACGATGATCATCAGACCTGAACCTGAAAAAAGGCAATTGGAAAAAGCCTATTCTGATCACTACTACAACACAATGATGCTCAGGGGGCAATGGCAAAAGCAGCAAATCTGAATGATTGATGGGCATTGCAATTCAAATGCACCATGTCTTGTGATCAATTATGTGGTGCTGGGCTTACCTGTCCACCTCCCCGCTAATATTTTATTCAATTTGGCGCCACTGCTTTATGGGTGGGATTTAAGTACCCCCTGACAAATTGTGGCTGTGCAATTAAAGGGACATTAGGTAAAGGTAAAGGGACTCCTGACCATTAGGTCAAGTCAAGGACGACTCTGGGGTTGCAGCGCTCATCTCGCTTTATTGGCCGAGGGAGCCGGCGTACAGCTTCCGGGTCATGTGGCCAGCATGACTAAGCTGCTTCTGGCGAACCAGAGCAGCGCACAGAAACGCCGTTTACCTTCCCGCCAGAGCGGCACCTATTTATCTACTTGCACTTTGACGTGTTTTCGAACTGCTAGGTTGGCAGGAGCAGGGACCGAGCAACGGGAGCTTACCCCGTTGCGGGGATTCGAACCGCCAACCTTCAGATCGGCAAGTCCTAGGCTCCGTGGTTTAGACCACAATGCCACCTGCGTCCCTTTAAAGGTAAAGGGACCCCTGACCATTAGGTCCAGTCGCGGCCGACTCTGATGTTGCGGCACTCATCTCGCTTTACTGGCCGAGGGAGCTGGTGTTTGTCCGCAGACAGCTTCCGGGTCATGTGGCCAGCATGACTAAGCCGCTTCTGGCGAACCAGAGCAGCGCATGGAAACGCCGTTTACCTTCCCGCCGAAGCGGTACCTATTTATCTACTTGCACTTTGACGTGCTTTCGAAGTTTACTGTGCAACAAATCTGCTTTCCCCCTCCTCCCTTGCAAGATCCCACAGGCTTCTTATGGTGGTGAGGAGGAGAAGGTCAGAGCTAACAGACTTTTGACAAAACATGGCAAATATTTGATTAGTAAACAGTGGCCACCAGAAGACTGCCAGTGTGGTTCTGCTTTTCTTCATCAACATTAACTGAACGATCCGTCAAAGAGCAAATGTGAATCCCGGGCCATGATATCGCACTCATCTCATGGGTGTCCTCAGGGCTTTTTTTTTCAGCTGGAAAAACTCAGTTCCAGCACCTCTCCAGGGGGCACTATTGCCATTATAAGAGAACAAGGGAGCTGTGAATGGTGAGTTCCGACACCTCTTTTTCTAGAAAAATAGGGTATTCTCCTAGCTGCAAGAATAAAACCTTGTGCTGTAGGAGCTTAGATGCAGAAGGAGAAGATAAATAGGAAGAGAAGGAAGAAGAAACAAGGGAGTATTTCTTTAGGAGCGGAGAAACGAGTGCCTCTTTAAAATGAGAAGGGAAACAACTAGAAAAGGAAAGATGATTGCGATGAGGGCTCAGTTAAGTGCCTGAGAGGCCCCCAAGAAGTGAAAGACTAGCAGAAGTCATAGAGGGAGGAAAATTAAAAGCAACAGGATCCAGTAGGCAAGCCGATTTATTTTATTGATCTGCAGATTTGTAAACCGCTTCACAACCAAAACCTACCGATGCTGTGTGCAATAAGATAAAAAGATAAAACATGATCATTATCATCATCAATGAAATTTATATACCACCCTTCCTCCATAGATCACAGGGCAGTTGAAAGTATAAAAATACATAATATCTACCGTATTTTTCGCTCCATAAGACACACTTTTTTCCTCTTAAAATCTAAGGGGAAATGTCTGTGCGTCTTATGGAGCGCATGTGTGGTCCATGGGGCTGGGGGGGGGGGACCTGGGCTTCCCCCACCAGCCCCGACCTGCTCTTTGAGGCTGGCAGTGGGGGAAAGTGCGCTTCCCCCCACCGGCAGGCCCACAAGCTGGGGAGCCCCAAAGAGCAGGTCGAAAGGAACCCAAAGCCTCCAGAGCGGGAACTCCCGCCGCGCTCTGGAGGCTTCGGGTTGCCTTCACTGAAGCCTGGAGAGCGAAACGGGTTGGTGCGCACTGACCCTTCTCGCTCTCCAGGCTTCCAAGGTAGCTGCCTGAAGGCGACTGAACGCACCTTGAACGCACCTTGTTTTAGAGGGGGAGAACAAGAAAAAAAAAATCTCCCCCTCTCTGCGCAGCGCCCCTTCAGCGAAGCGGGAGGAGAAATGGAAGGGGCTCCGTTTCTCCTGCTGCTTCGCTGAAGGGGCGCTGCGCAGAGAGGGGGAGAATAATTTTTTTGTCTTATTCTCCCCCTCTAAAACAAGGTGTGTCCTATGGTCGGGTGCGTCCTATAGAGCGAAAAATACGGTATATATTTATATATGCAAATGTTATGCAGATCTACATACCCTTTTTGCTTTTTTGGCATGATGCGTTTCCTTTTCTTTTTAGGTGATGCCTAGTTAGCTATCCTATGTCAGAACGGCCTTTCAGCTACAGTTCATGTAAGTTTTCATGGAGGAATGCTCAAGGTGTATCTGAGTCGTACCACTGCTTTTGTGGGGCATGTACGACTGAATGTTATTCCATCCAACACACACAAACACATACAACTGGATGTCAGGAAGAAAGGTTCTTTCTAGTTCATCGTTCTCTCTGACATTCTAGATTTCTGTGTTGAGTCAACGCTTCTAGACAAAGGAACATTCCATCATATGAACCCACAGCCAGAAAACTGAAGCAGTAGAGTCCAGATACAGATTGAGCGCTTTGGTCAAAATATGGCCCTGTACTAGCCTTTAAAAATGGTGAACTGTTTTGCATGCCTGTATTATAGCATCTGCATTGTTTGAAGAAGAAATGCCTTTCCTCTGTGGTCTATATTTGAATCAGGTTGCTGCCGCTGCTGTATTCTTTAGAGAAGACAGCAGCAGAAATATAAGATTAATCATTTTGTACACTTGATGGCTTCATTGGACAGGCAATAAATCAATTATATTGAATTGGGAAAGGTATTGTTCAAATGCTATTAGTGCTCTCTCTCTCTGTCTCCATTATTGAACTGGGATTTTAGGCCTGATTTAAAGAAGTCTTCCACAAGTCTGTCCTTGGAAGGTGCGCAGTATTTTATCTATTCTACCACCAGTTTTGGGGCTCCGTCCCTGGGCTTAATTTTGTACTTTTGTTTTATGACTTTGCTATTATTCGTTTCTCTTTTCCTTCTGATTTTTCAAACTAACGCATCATGCAATATTTATTTCTTTTAGTGTGTAAATGATCAGATTTGTAAAAGGCATTTCACTAATAGTGGAAGCATCATGCTAGCCATATGATATTGGTGCAGTAGGGGGAAATGGGGCGAACCTAGGGAGGGTGTGTGTGCAGGGGGAAGGGTTGTTTGACCAATCAATGTAATCAAATGTAATCAAAATCTTATGCTATCGCATCCTACCTTGCCTCAGTTTTGCCTTGGGTGCAGTTTTATGTTGTTGTTTAGTCGTTTAGTCGTGTCCGACTCTTCGTGACCCCAGGCACTCCTGTCTTCCACTGCCTCCTGCAATTTGGTCAAACTCATGCTGGTAGCTTCAAGAACACTGTCCAACCATCTCGTCCTCTGTCGTCTCCTCCAGCACCATAATTCAAAAGCATCAATTCTTCGGCGATCAGCCTTCTTTATGGTCCAGCTCTCACATCCATACATCACTACTGGGAAAACCATAGCTTCATACGGACCTTTGTCGGCAAGGTGATGTCTCTGCCCCTTCATGGATCACTGACTTGCCATGGTGAAGGGGCTTGAATAACTCAGAGAAGCTATGAGCTATGCCGTGCAGGGCCACCCAAGATGGACAGGTCATAGTGGAGAGTTTTGACCAAACGTGATCCACCTGGAGCAGGAACTGGCAAGCCACTCCAGTATCCCTGCCAAGAAAACTCCATGGACAAAGACAACAGGCAGTTTTATGTACATAGAATAAACACATTTCAGTCTAGAGCCAATGTTGAACCCTAGACATCAGCGCCTAGCTATGTTGATGGATGGAATTTCAAGTAACCCACAAGATCATCATGGCACAGTCAGGAGCACATAAGAACCAGCAAGGGGATATGGATCACAACATGGGGCTTCATCTGCCCCTCTGTCTAAGACCTGCAAAGAACTTGCCGAAAAGGAACAGTTCACATAAACAACAATCAGCCAAGGATAATGTCAAAGAATGGGTTGGTGGCTCTTGTGTACACCTCTCAGGTACTCTGGGCATGTGGCTGGTGCTGTGGTCTAAACCACTGAGCCTCTTGCTCTTGCTCATCGGAAGGTTGGCGGTTCGAATTCCCGTGATGGAGTGAGCTCCCTTTGCTCTGTCCCAGCTCCTGCCAACCTAGCAGTTCGAAAGCATGCCAGTGCAAGTAGATAAATAGGTACCGCTGTGGCGGGAAGGTAAACGGCGTTTCCATGCACTCTGGTTTCCGTCATGGTGTTCCATTGCATCAGAAGTGGTTTGGTTATGCTGGCCACGTGACCTGGAAAGTTGTCTGTGGACAAATGTCACATCTTGGCCTGAAAGCAAGAAGAGCCCACAACCCCATAGTCACCTTTGACTGGATTTAACCATCAATGGGTTCCTTTACCTTTTTACCTTTACCTTTTTACTCGGCCTCAGGACGCCATAGACTGACTTAATGCCTTCCAGGAACATCAGTTCCACCTATACTGTTGGGAAAATATTGGGGTTCAACACCCTATACCCCAGGCATAGGCAAACTCGGCCCTCCAGATGTTTTGGGACTACAATTCCCATCATCCCTGACCACTAGTTCTGTTAGGGATCATGGGTGTTGTAGTCCCAAAACATCTGGAGGGCCCAGACGGCCAATAAGATCCAGACTACAACTCTCAGTCAAACCTCAAATAGCAAACAGTTGAGGGACGGCACACCAAATATGAAAGCAGCACAAACATTTATACCCTCACGGCCTAGGACCTCGTACCTACGGGCCCGCCTCTCCCAGTATGCCCCACGGAGAGCCTCAAGGTCCATAAATAGCAACACCCTAGTGGTCCTGGGCCCTAAGGAAGTTAGATTAGCTTCAACCAGAGCCAGGGCCTTTTCAACACTGGCTCCGGCCTGGTGGAACGCTCTGCCTCATGAGACCAGGGTCCTGTAGGATCTGATTTCTTTCCGCAGGGCCTGTAAGACAGTTGTTCTGCCTGGCCTTTGGCTTGGAGCCAATTTGATTCCCTCCCCCTCTTTCTTTTTCCTTTCTCCTCCTGCGATGAGGCTGCATTTTAATATTTTAATGTTTCAATATTTTAATTGTTGTATTTTAATCTTGTTTTTAAGTTGTATTCATTCAACTTGTTTTTATTATTGCTTGTTAGCTGCCCTGAGCCCGGCCTTCGCTGGGGAGGGCGAGGTATAAATAAAAAAATTATTATTATTATTATTATTATTATTATTATTACAAGCAAAGGAGAGCAAAGGAGAGGTTATGTCCATCTATGGCAATCCTTCATTCAACTAGCTTCTACTGGTTTAATCATGACACATAGCAATGTTCTTATCTTTCCCTCCTTTGTCCCCAACAGTCATAGCAATAGCTCCTGCGTACCTGTTGTTCTGTTCTTCTCTCCTGGTTCCCTTGCAAACAGAGCCTTCACTTACCAGTCTTCACTTGCTCAGTCCTTCTCACTTCAAATGTTAATTTTATCCTCCTGCAACTGAACAGGACATTTGGGATGTAGGTGAGCAATGGGGGGTGGGTCCTACTGGACTGGGAAAGATTCCCTCTCTGACACCCTGGAGAGCCACTGCAAGTCAGTGTACTGTAGACCATGGGTAGGCAAACTAAGGCCCGGGGGCCGGATCCGGCCCATTCGCCTTCTAAATCCGGCCCGCAGACGGTCCGGGAATCAGCATGTTTTTACATGAGTAGAATGTGTCCTTTTTATTATTATTATGTTATTAAATGTTACCCCTCCTCAAAATAGAAAATTAGAAACAATACATAACCATACCTAAAAACATTTTATCTACACAATTTTCAAGAATGCAGACTAGAAAGACAAAAGATAAAAGAAAGAAAAAGAAGAGAAGAAATACTTTTCATAATCAATTATTCCAAATTCATACTTCAAACATTACAATATTTAAATCCTAGTTAAAATATTATAAAAGACTTCCACCGCATTCACCACATGTCTCTTGGTTATCTAATTCACCTTTACAACTGTTCTTCAGTCACTTCCTTTCCTTAAATTCTTTCATGTCCATCTAATCTTTGTATTCTCTGTATTCTTCACAAGATTAATCTAAGCACAACCAAACTTTTGTGTTTGAACCCCGTTTGTGTAAATATTCATTTAAGCATTCCCATTGTTTCTGTACCATAGTTTTAGATTTATGCCTTATTATATCCATCAATTTTGCTAACTCCAGATACTCACATAGTTTACTTAACCATTCCCTTTTTGTTGGGATAGAATGTGTCCTTTTATTTAAAATGCATCTCTGGGTTATTTGTGGGGCATAGGAATTCATTCTTTTCCTCCCTTCAGAATATAGTCTGGCCCCCCACAAGGTCTGTGGGACAGTGGACCGGCCCCCTGTTGAAAAAGTTTGCTGATCCCTGGTAGACGATACTACAGTGGTGCCCCGCAAGACGAATGCCTCGCAAGACGAAAAACTCGCTAGACGAAAGGGTTTTGTGTTTTTTGCAAGACGAATTTCCCTATGGGCTTGCTTCGCAAGACGAAAACGTCTTGCAAGTTTGTTTCCTTTTTCTTAAAACTGTTACAGTAATACAGGGTGCATTGCTTGAAGAGGTGCAGTTGCGACTTGACTTCGAGGAGCAACTCATAGCACGCGGTGTGGCAGCCTTTTTTGAGGTTTTTGAAGACTTTGGTGATTTTTGAAGCTTTTCCAAAACTTCTTTTGCAGCCATTTGGTAAGTTAAACTTTTAAAACTTTTTGGGGGGTTTTGGGATTTTGGGTTGGGGTGTTTGGAATTCAAGGACTTGGTGTTGGGGAGGGGTTTGCAAGAATCTGGAAGCTTGTGTGGTTTTTTTCTGCATTTTTATGATTTTTGTGACCATTGGGCCACTCTGCTTTTTTTAAAAAAAAAAAATCTGGGTTTGAATTTCTGTGTGGTGGGTGGCTGGGGGAACAGTTGAGGAGGGGTTTGCAAGAATCTGGAAGCTTGTGTGGTTTTTTTCTGAATTTTTATGATTTTCTGTGACCATTGGGCCACTCTGCTGTTTTTTTTAAAAAAATCTGGATTTGAATTTCTGTGTGGTGGGTGGCTGGGGGAACAGTTGAGGAGGGGTTCTTCAGCAAGAAGCAAAGAGTGGAAGAGGAACCTTCTTCGAGTTGTCCCCCAGAGTCTTAGAAAATGTACTGTACACTTTGTTGATTTTTAAATGTTTTTCTGTCATGTTTAGAAACTTAATTTATTGTTCCTTCAATTTTTGAAATGCTCTTTACAGTATGTGTGACTTTAAAGAGCACTTAATAAACTCTTGTTGTACCAAATTTGGCTTTGTTTGGACTTTTTTTGACCATAGGAACGCATTAATTGAATTTCAATGCATTCCTATGGGATTTTGTGCTTCGCAAGACGAAAAATTCACTAGACGAAAAAACTCGCGGAACGAATTAATTTCATCTTGCGAGGCACCACTGTAACCCGGACCAACTACTGTAGTAGCCTGGCTTGGTATATGGCAATTTCTTTCTTTCTTTTTAAAAATATTGTTTTTATTTATTTTCAAGGTACAAAAATTGTTACAACAGTAAGCAGCGGATAACTTGTCCTGAGAAAATCACAGACTTTTATCATGCCCTATGTGCTTGCCTGTCTTGTGATTCCCATCTTGTGTACATCAGTCCTATCCCAACACCAAGGTCTTCTTCACTATTCCTGGACACAGTTGCCCCCAGCTACTATCAGGTAAGAAACCACAACAGCTGCCTCTTTAATGAAAAAAAGATTGCAACAGACTTCGCAAGCAAAGTGCTGCAAAAACACATTACTCTCTAAAACATTTGCTATGATCGCTTCTGCTTTGGAAAAAGGAGAGAATTTGGGTGTTTCTTTTAATAACTTTTATAACTTGATTTACTCACGGTATGGTCTTTTTATTTTTTTAAAAAAACAGCAATTAAGATATTCATTTGCAAGTAAGAAGGAAATAATGAAGCCATATTTTGATTAGAGACAGAATGCACAGTGCTTTAGGAAATACATTTTCATTGTTTGATTTGAAGGAATACTCTCACCACCTGTGAACCTGCATAACTCACTAAATCATACACTGGTTACAGTTTTCAGTTTTGCAGATCAAATATGATAGTTTCCCCTCTGAGGCGATATCCACGTCCCTGGAAGAGGTATTAAAGAGAATAAGACAGAGCAGTGAAATATTTGGCAATAATCTTAATAAGAATGCAGGAGATTATTGGCCTGCATATAAAAGAGGAGATGATGGAGATCAGGATTTACGGTATATTATCCATACTATTGCTTGGAAAAATAAACTGCCTAAGTTAGGTGTATTGGAGTATAGTTAGCTATGGGATACAATTATTTGCAAATGAGAGAAAATAGAAACCCAAAAAGGAAAAATAATCCCCGGCTAATAAGGCAATACCATAAAACAAAAAGTTAAGATAACTAACTTAAATGAGCTTTATAATCAGTCTCTGTATTCACAAAATCTAATGGCTGTGTTGCCCATAAGTATGTTTAACAAAATTTTCCCTATATACATAAAAACGGAAGGCTGTTGTCACACTGTTATCATGTGGCTGCCAATTTGCAACCAAGCCAACTCCAGCATAGTGAGAGTGGCAATACCGAGCCCAAGGACTACAGAGAGATAAATGAAAAACCAAGCAATTCTGTATGTAGTTTACAAAAGTTATTAACAATAATGTACAGCATTTCAACACCTTCTATTACATAAAACCTTAAATAATTTATACAATGGCAAAATAATAATGACTTGTGCAACTCAGTGTCTTAAAGCCAGGCAGTCCAAATATTTCTGAAATAAGTCCATGAGAGAAATTCTCTCTGTGTATATTTGCGCTAGTGCGGTCTCAGTGGAACTCCGACAATGAGATACCCGGATTTCAATCTCTGTTTTGTGAATAGCCTTCTGGTCAGCCTGGAAAGGAACTCTAAATTATATATAACATGCTTATAAGAACCTCAATACAAGCCTCATACAATGACAAAAATTCTTATCATAATAAAAACTCAATGCATTACACTTACATACAATGGCAATTCAACGCTCCACCAAATACTTCAGCTCCAACCTTCGAATGGCCATTTGGTCTTTTTTGGGGGGAAAGGCTGATACGGCCACAGTTATGCATATTGCTTATATGCCCCAAGGACCAGTAATTTGTCCAGCGAATTGTACAAGCAAACACATGAAAACGGCTTATGTTTGGTGTTATGTACTGAAGTTCTCACCCTGGGCCAGCAGGGGGATACTGTAGATAGTTCAGGTCCACATATGCAAATAAGGGATTGAAAGTGACGTTCAGTGATTGGATAGTTACAGAAAGTTGTTACAGTTACGTTGTACTGGAGCTCTATATAAGCAGGCTGGCTGAACCCTTCAGTTCTGTTCTGGCCTGTGAATAAACAAGAGCTGTTTAAAGAATCGCTGTGTCGTCTGATATGTTCACCCACAACCTAACATTTGGTATGCCAGATTTTATAATGGTTCGTAGCTCAGTGGATCATGTGCAAATATGGTAGGTGCATTTAGCACACTCTCGAAGCATTGCGCAGACCCATCCGCCACCCTGTTTTTACAAGTATATCAGGGTTGAGTGTTGGGAGAATGGGAGAAACGGGAAAAGCAAACGAAATGGACACAACTCCACATTCAAACATTTCACAAATGACACTGGGGACGGTTGTGCATCTATAACCATCACTGCCCTGGGGTTCTCTTTTCACCTAATATTACACTCATCTCTGCTTTATGGTTCCGTTATGAAGCAAATTATGTCACTAGACTGATCCTATGATGATGATGATGTCAAACGGTCCGAGTTTTAGGAAAGCAGTATATCGAGAAATATCCAGCACAAATAAAACAAGTTTTGTTTATTTATGTTCTACTTCTTTTAAAATGCATGCTTTCCCAAAGCTGCTAAAGGCTTTTGAGTTTTCAAAAAACCACACACCAGTCAGTCTGATGGGTTTATTTTTATGCAGTGCTTTTTTATGTATAGGGGTACTCTCATTTTGACTCAAGGTAACCACCATTTTATAGTTCAAATCGGGAAAAATAAATACAAATTCACAAAATGCTTAGGGGTATGCGTTTCCCCCAGAAAAAAAAGCATTGGGTTTATGGCATGCATATGGAGCATAACGGAATTCTTAGTTGGGGACCAGCCTCATGACAAAAGAAAAAAAAAACTAATTACAATTTTTTTTATTTAAAAAGGGCTCAGCTGAGTGATTTTGACCCAGCACAGCTGCGTAACGCGCGAGAGCGCCTCAACGGGGCCGCGCGGAAGGATGACAGAATGGAAGGCGAGAGCGCATGCGCGCAGCGACCACCCACTCGCTTCTGTAGAACACTTCGCCCATCCTCTCAGGCGCATGCGCCCCTCAAGCCGTCGGCTCCCGCCAGCTGAAGTTGATTGGAAGGGAGCCGGCGGCGCCGCAAAAAAAGTGAAAAGGGGGTCCGGCGGCAGTTCTCGCGAGACCTGTGGACCTATAAATGCAGGGAGGCGGGGAGGAGGCGGGCCCTTTTTCTCGCAGTGCGCGCTGGTGCTGCTGCGTTTGTCCATCCGTCCGCCCGCCCCACAGGTGCCCTCCGTCCTGTTCCGCCCCGTCCGCGCGGCTCCTGCGACTGACGTGACCTGAGGGGGGAGAAAAGGTGATACCGACGACGACCGCGTTAGGTGGTGAGGGCGGCCAGCAGACAAGATGGAGGACAGCAGCATGGACATGGACAACATGGGCTCCCTCAGGCCGCAGACCTTCCTCTTCGGTAAAAGGGACTAGGCCGCCCGCGTGAGGGAAAGACGAGGCGGGGGGGGTAATCCCCCCTACCCCTTTGGCGCATGCGCACGTTCCCTTTCCCACGCGGCTTCTCCCCCCCGCCCTCGCCCCGCGTTTCGAACGTGCCTCGCGCGCTCCGCGTTCCCCCCTCGCCCGCTTTTCATGGAGGGCGGGGCCGGGTCCAAGCGCCTGGAAGGAAGGAAGGAAGGTGGAGGGGGGGCTTCCCCACGTGGCTGGCGCTTCGGGGGGGGGAATTAGGGGGCCCTCAGCCGCCCCCCGCCCTGCTGTGTGTTTGGAAATGCGGCGGCTGCTTCCTTTGTCCTCCTTTCCCACCCCCTCCAACCTCCTCCCCGCTTAAATGGACGCCGTCTCCGCCGCTTTGGCACCGGGCCCACCAGTTCCTGGCGACGCTCCCCTCCCCCTTCCTCTCACGTGGCTGGAGGAGGAGGAGGGGGGGAGTTGGGTGAGGGGCCTTTTGGCTCCATGTCTCCCCCATGCGCTTCGCCACGTGGCCGCGCTGGAAGTTTGGGGGGGGGGTCAGGTTCAAGAAGCAAATGCGACTTACACGGCTTCAAAAATAAAGCGGACCACACAAATAGGGCAGGGAAAGAAAACACTACGATTGTTAATTAATTTTTCTGGCCCCGAGACGCTTCCCCGTGGAAATAACGCTTTACTCTCTGCGGCCGGTGCTTTTTCGAGTTGACACAGGTCATTTCATGTCAGACCTATAGGCCTGCTGTGGGGGGGGGGGGGAGAAAAAGCGCAGAGAGCTGCTGCAGAGGCTGGTATTGCAGTGTGGTACCAGCGGGGAGGGGAGAAAGAATGGCCTCGGATGGCCATGTGCTTCAGTAGGCGGAGCGTGATAGCACCTTGCAAGATGAGGAGGAACCATGTAATCGCAAGATGGCAACTGTTCTTTGTAACCTGCAGGCATATAAGTAGAATCGTGCGCCGTGAAAAACTAATTGGTGCTCTAGAACGGCATGGCGTTTGTGTGCTTTTAACAAGAGGTGTAAGTGGAAGATCAGTGCTTATAAAGCTTTCCCCTGTATGTTTAAATGGTACTCAGGATTTTTTTCTCTATTGGATCTGATCCCAACTTGTGACTGATTGGATCTGATCCCAACTTGTGACAGCTATGAACACTGTAAACTTCCAAGGGTTTTTTGTTTTTTGTAGATGTAGAAGTGAAGCAGATCTGTTCGGATTTGCATGTGGGTTAAACAAGGACACACAGACTGCAGTCTTTTTTGGGAGTAAGGCCCGTTCAGTGGGCGTTTTTTTTTTTAGTAGAAGTGTAAAAGATTGCATATTACATTTTCTCTGTTAGGTCTGTAAAGGGAGCTAAATATTCAAACTATTTAATAGCAAACACATTGCTGCTTTTGCAGGTTGTGAACTAAAGGCAGACAAGGAGTATCATTTCAAGGTGAATGATGAAGAAAATGATCATCAGCTCTCTTTAAGAACGGTAAGTGCTGATTCTTGGAAAATACTGAAGAACTACTGGAACAAGTGCTGCAAAATAATTGCAGGCTGTACTGATGCAAAACATTGTGGCAATTGCACCTGAAAAGTTCACTGATGTGGCCAGAATGGGTATTTGATGCAGCTATCTATATATTGGCTTGATATGTATTGGTACCACTATGCTGTGGTCACACTTTCTGTGGCTTCACCTGAGGCTACCATGGAAGACCTGTTAAAATACCACTGCATGAAATATAGAAGGTGGCTTAAATTATCATTCCTCTTCCAAAGACTGGCTTTCCTGAGGACCCCACCACCATTCACTTAATATGACAATTGTCAAAACTGGGGTGTTCTTGAGCATCTTGATTAAATTTGAAGTAACGAGTACACCTTTACGTTATGGCACCAACTGAGAATAAAGTAAGCTGGTCTGGTATACCATTCTTTGTGTTGGGTAGCTGTAGCACTAAGGCTGTAAGCCTCAGCTGTTTTCCTTGTCAAACACTGTACCTTGTTCTACAGGTTAGCTTAGGGGCTGGTGCTAAAGATGAGTTGCATGTTGTTGAAGCAGAAGCATTGGACTACGAAGGCAAGCAGATTACTGTCACTCTGGCATCCTTGAAGATGTCAGTGCAGCCTACGGTAAGTTTTTCGCTTATCTATTAAAATTGGTGGGATGAAATCTAAATACAGTGGTACCTCAGTTTACATACGCTTCAGGTTACATAACACTTCAGGTTACAGACTCCGCTAACCCAGAAATAGTGCTTCAAGTTAAGAACTTTGCTTCAGGATGAGAACAGAAATCGTTCTCCGGCGGTGTGGCAGCAGCAGGAGGCCCCATTAGCTAAAGTGGTGCTTCAGGTTAAGAATAGTTTCAGTTTAAGAACGGATCTCCAGAACGAATTAAGTACTTAACCCGAGGTACCACTGTACTATATAACGATAGTCCCTTACACATTTTTTCTAGTTGTATTCTCACAGGATTTTGATTGTACAGCAGCTACGTAGTTGAAAACTAAAGTGGACACTTAAGAGCTCTTCATGCCTGTGCTGAAGGAAGGTTGAACATGTGACCTTGGCTCTTACCTGTGGTTTAGTGTTGCATCTTAATTTGGTCAGCAAGTTTACTGGGTTACATGACTTAGCTTTCGTCTTTTTATTTTGTGTAGCGATGTCGGCTTATTGGACATTTTTATGGTAATCTAAATTTATTTCAGTGTTTGACATCTAGGAAGCAAAAACAAGAGAAAGACACTGTTAAAAACAGTCCCCCCCCCCAATAGAATTTATTTGTTTAGGGAATAATTAATTAAAGCACCGTTAATGTTGTGTAAATGTTGGATGACATTCAGTATCACATGAGCAGACATCTCCTTCCTCTTCTTTCCATGGTAAGTGGGTCTCCCAACCCTTTAGAATGGATTTGGGGGTGGGGAAACCTCTGTCAACTCTGATCTGCAGTTATGGTTGGATTTTATCCATTACGTTTAAACAAATGTGAAGCTTTACTCAACATACTAATGTGAGTATGCCTAAAGGACTATTAGAATTTTGAAATACCTGCCCAACCTTGCAGGTAACGTGTTCATTTGTTAAAACTACTAATTTTATGAAACAATGCATTTCTGGAAGTGAAAAATTTTCTATTATGGAAAAGCTTCATCCTACATTACTGATTCTTTAAGTTACTTTGGGCTCTTTTAAAAAGCAGCCTAAGAGATCTGAAGGCAGCCCTGTATTGGGAAATTTCAAATGTCTGATATTTTACAGTTTTTTATATATGCTGTAAGCCGCTCAGAGTGGCTGGGGAAATCCAGCCAGATGGGCAGGTTTTGAATAATAGTAGTAATAAATGCTCAAAGTGAAGTCATTTTAATTACGTAGAATTAGAAACAGTACATTTTTTTGTACCATGAAACTTTTTATTCCACTGTAACTGGCAGAAGCTACATTATAAACATTGTGCTTTGTAGTTGCAAGTAGAATTATTTAATGTTCTGATCTGTTTGCATGGGGAATAGACAAAGGCTTAGCAGATACAGCTAGCCTTGGTAGCCAAGCATTTGTTTCTTGGCGCCAGCTGTGAAGTAGTCTTACCATTGCAGCTTTTTTAAAAAGTGCTATCATACAGTAGATAGATTCTTATTTCTGCTGAGATTCACATTGTTTTATCTGCATTAAGTGGCTTATGTTTTTAAAATGACTTTGTAATTGGAATGTATTGTACAGGAATAGGGATCCTTTTCCAGCCTAATGGTATTTATTTTACTTAAAGCATTTATATACACCCTTTAGCCAAAAAGACACTCAGAGTGCCTTTCATTAGTACTGTACTAAGATGATCCCTGACCCCAGGCTCAGTCTGTAATGACATGACGACACAGTTGGAAAAAGGAACAGAAGAAGGCAAGAGGGAAGGCAAGGAGGCACAGGTTTTTTGTTACAGTTCTTACAGTGCAGTTACATAGGTCAGTTCATGCAGATTCTGGCTGCGTAGAGCAGCAGTAAGTCCTCACCGATGTCAGTGGCAGTTGTGACTGTCTTGCTCTTAAGGGCAGCTCTCTCCAGAAGCACACTTCTCCCCAGATCAGATCTGTGAGCGGAGCTAGTGACAAGCGTCCGGCACAGGAGGACACGGCAGCTCCTGCCATACGCTTCTTTTCTCAAACTGATGTATTGATGGCTGTTAGAATCCTCACAGGCAACCTTTTCCATATTAATTAATTAAATTTGTGTGCCAGAGATCTCAGGGTGGTTTATAGGCGTGTGGACTGCATGTCAGTTGCAGGTGGGCCCAGAGGCAAAAGGGAGCAGAGCAAAAGATGTGGCTCCTCTCTCTACACAGCAGGCTGAACTGAATTCATGCAAGTGTCTGAGATTTCTACCCCGCTCTTTGCCCGGGCAAGCAAGAACTTTATTACAGTTCAAGGACACATTGCAGCCTGGCGCTTGAGGGTGCAGAGCAAGGCCTTTCAGAGGAGTGGCTTTGGGAAGAGTGGGTGTTATTTGGGGAGAGCACCATAAGCTAGCTAAGAGAGGCTTTATGGGACACATCTGGCCTCCTGGCCTGAGGTTTTCCATGTCTATCATGTTTTTATGGTCTGTAAGCTGCCTTAAGTGGGCTTTGCCCCCCCCCCCCGAGCTATTACCTTTGTAAATAAAAACAGATATGCATTTCTAAAAACAGATAAAATCGACAAAGTTACATACCGTATTTTTCGCTCTATAAGACGCACCAGACCACAAGACGCACCTAGTTTTTGGAGGAGGAAAACAAGAAAAAAAATATTCTGAATCTCAGAAGCCAGAACAGCAAGAGGGATCGCTGCACAGTGAAATCAGCAATCCCTCTTGCTGTTCTGGCTTCTGTGATAGCTGCGCAGCCTGCATTTGCTCCATAAGACGCACACACATTTCCCCTTACTTTTTAGGAGGGAAAAAGTGAGTCTTATAGAGCAAAAAATACAGTAATTCAGGCTTTCATTAGGTTGATAAACACATGAAATGCCTTTACTGTGATTCGTTATACAACCTTTGGCATTATTTTTCTCTCAATTTGTTAAATAATATTCCCTCATTTAGGTTTTTGTACATTAGTTGTTTTGGCAGAAACCTTGTGAATAACGGGTTTTGGCTAGTCAGATGTCTGTTGCAATTTTCTGTCTTACTCAGTTTTGAATCACCCATTTTTCAAGAAGTCCTGTAACACTTCAAAGGCTAAAGTAGCTTGGCTGAAACTGCTCCATTAAATGCATAGGTTCAACTAAGAAAGGGCTTTCAGCCAGCTGAAAAATGTTTAGCTTTTATAAAGTTCTATCATTTTAAATACTAGTTTGGACTCTACCAAATAAAATGGGAAAGAGGTTCTGCTTTTACTTCATGCAGAACCCTAGACCACTTTTGCCTGTTTGAGTAGAGATGTATGATAATCCAATGCCTTTTCTAGACCTGTTGGGAATTGTGAGTTATGTAGCTTTGGCAATACTGTCTATATGATGCAAATATTTCAACTATGCTTTGTACGTTTTCCCCCTTCAGGTTTCATTAGGTGGCTTTGAAATCACACCACCAGTTATTCTGAGGTTGAAGAGTGGCTCAGGACCAGTTTATGTCAGTGGTCAACATCTCGTAGGTAAGAAAGTGACCTCTCTTCTCTGTTTCACTTAATTTCTGTCTGAACACATAAATTTGGTAAAGTGAATGCATCTCTTATGGCCTGCCATAATGTTGAAAAGTTGTGTGTAGCCTTACTTGACTTGTTCCATATTTTCAGCTTTAGAAGAAGAACCAGAATCTTCTGAAGATGAAGATGATGATGATAAGGTACTACACAACACAGCAAAAAGGCCTGCAGGTGTGACATTGGGTAAAGTTCCACAGGTAAGCTGATGGGGGGGGGGAGAAATGGCTGCTTTGGAATTGATAGTGTCTATAGGAATGGGTTTCCTCACACAAGCACCTGTGTTCTAGCTTGTATGGTTGGCAAGAGAAGTTTTGCATAGGTCCTCTGTGAATCTAGACTTAGGAGTAAAATAAAACCAAATTTTGTCTATAAATTAGAGGAAGCCTTATCATGTGGTGTGTGTAAAAAAGACCAAAAGACTTTATTTTAAATTGGTTGCCACCCTTTTTGGATCGGTGGGTACATTTCAATTTTAAAGGGAGTGCTGTTGTGCCCTAGGAAGGAAGAATATAGAACTGAAAGAGGAAGTAAGGCATATCGTCACTTCCAGCTTCCTTTTTCAGCTCTACTTTTCAAGGAAGAAAAAGGTAATCATCCTCACAATTCCATAACTAAAGGGATAGTCAGTGGAGGAAACTTAGAGGCCTTCTAGGTGCCAGCGAAGACTTCAGTGGTGAATCCTACATTAGCAGGTCTAAACTTAGAATCAAAACATTGGGCATATTTGTAATCCCTTCCATACGTTCTTTCTTTAAAAGAAAAAAGTAAAGCTGACAGAGGATGACGACGATGATGAAGACGACGAAGATGATGATGATGAGTAAGTTACCTTTTGGAATATGTTCAGTGTTTTTAACAATTTGCCAATAAATGTCAGCTTCGCACCCAGAAAAATTGTCTTTTTCAAAAGTAGTTATTTAGATTGATCGGTTTGTTTTATTTATGAATATTTGTGAGGATACATGTGCCTTGTTAAAATGTTGCCATTAATAGCAAAATTTCAGTTTTTGCTAGTGAAAAGACAAGCAGCATTTTTTTTTTTTACTTTATTTAGTTGGATTTCCTACCCTGCTTTAAATTCAGAAAGGATCTCCAGAGCACCTTAAAAAGAACAGAATTAAATTAGGAATGCTTATACATGCTCTGAAATTGGCATTGCTCTGAGTTAGTGTGTCGCCCCCCAACCCAGTTCACATTAAGTTGTAGTTTCCACTTCTGTTTATCTCTTACTGGTATAATACAAGTTGGATGTGGGCCTTCAAAGATTCTTAAATCTTTTGGGTGTTGATACTAATTGGAATTTTTAATTGTAGTGACGATGACGACATGGATGATGATGAGGAGGAAGAGAAGACTCCAGCAAAAAAAGTGAGTAATTATGTACAATTCAGAAATGACTTCACAATGTATAACTTTGTACTTACAGAAGGGATTATTAACATTTCTATAGGTTGTTTGTTTATGCTATTGGAATGATGTGGTTGAATATAAAGGTGAGCATGTCAAGTGTAAGTATTGTATCCCAACCCTCATAGCAAAGAAAACATTTTCCAGTATCTTGTCTCACAATTTGGTGACAACAGTTGCTGAAAAAGAACTGAGCTATTTTTGACAGAATGATTTCTATCCCACTGAAATGATCAAGGTGATTTAAAAACATTAAAACAATTATTTTGTGAGTTCCTGTCTGCCATGTTGGTGCAAATAGTGCGAAAATTGCTATTTGCTACTGATTACATGTCAAAACCTCCTTATACCCTATCACCAATTCAGAAGGGGGTTTCTTTTTAGTTGACTTGGTTTGTGTTGATGCTACCTTTGTTGAGCTCATGCTCTAGTAATCTAGTTGTAAAATTCACATATTTCGAATGCACAGAAGAATGCTTTCAATCAAGCACGGGTTTAAATCAGTCTCTGAGAGTTAATAATTACTAGCTGGTTCATATGCAAACATTGCCTGCCCCTGTCTTAAGACTGGTACTGTCCAATACCCTTGTACGGTCTCAAAATTCTGGTTCTGAAACATTTTTTTAGTCCTCTGTGATTCAGCTCTGTGTCTTGGTGCTTCAAAGCAACAACAGTTGCATTCCCAAATTAAAAAGCAAACATGTCTGATAAGCGCTGTTGGCTTGTCAGTGTTTGAAGGGATTGGGCTCTGAACTGGCCTAATCTTGAAAGGAAGCTTCTGAGTGAGGAAACTGAGGCTCCCTCCCTCTATTGCACAGTCCAGGATCAAGTGCTATTTGGCTCTTCCTCTCCTAGAACTGTCAATGTGGTATCCATAGTTCCTGAATCTTTTTTCTTCTTCTTCTTCCCATCACCTTTTGTTTTCATTAATCAGCAAACGGTTGTTTAAGCACATTGGCAGGAGTAAGTTGCGGCACTCCATTGACTCCTTTTCAAGGCCTGGGCTAGACTGGGAAGTTGACCAGCCTTGACTCAGTGAATCTGTGCTTATACCTTTTGAGTTGAGAGCTTTGGGATTAGGAGAGAGAGTGAATGTCTCCCCTGTCATAGCACTTCCTGTTCTGTTCCCTTGGCCTGGGCTGTAAGTAAAATCTACTTGTCTAAGTGGGGACAGAAGATTCCCTTCCAGAGGGAAATGTAGCTTTTGTTTTGGATAGATAGGTGGAAATAGGAAGGTGCTTTTAAAATAAATGATTTTTAAGTAAAAGTAAAATTTTAGTATGGAACAACTGCAGTAAATTGACTTAGATTATGTAAAGCTATCAGCCGGGATAGTATTTTCTTTTCACATTCAAGTAATAAGATCTTATTCTTTGGAGAAGTAAAATGATAAAAATCCCCTACTTTTATGTTACTTTACAGACATGGGGCACTAGGTGGCACTGTGGCTTAAAGATTCAGTTGGATTAGAGATTTTTCAGTTGTAGCTTTCACTTTCCATTAACAATTCCTTTATCTGAGTTCATTACATGTCTGTATAACTGTATAACATGTCTGTGAACAAGAGTTGGGGATTTTGTTAATATTTTTAAAAGATAGGATTTGTGATTTTGTGTGTTATGAGATTTAGAACCATTAAGGCTATGAAAATCAATTTAACTTGCATTACTAGGAATCTTAATTTAAAATTGTGAATCAAGGTAAAAATGAATTATGGGTACTAAGTTTTAATCAAGTATAACATTATTGGTTAAATACAAGTTAGTAGAGTCTAAGATTGTAGTTACTTTGTTTGTACCAGTTGCCAATTTTTACTTGTGTTTGTAGTGTGTTACTAATTAAGTTTGTAATGCATTCATGTTTCTTTCAGAAAAAATAAGATGATCTCCAACTAAGTTGTGTTTAGTAGGCCCACTGAAATGAATGGACTTAAGTAATAAGTCAGTTGATTTAAAAAGGTCTGTAGCACTGCAAGGTGTAATGTCAACCAAAAGCTTTACTTTTCTAGGTTATTACCACAACAGTTATTATTAACACGGGGCTTCAGTAAAGCAAATAATTTAATTAGACAGTGCCTATATGATATCGAGCTACAGAATAATCTGGTCATGAGGAATTTTTGTCCATGGTATGATTATTTTCCATCTAGTCATTTTGACACCCTATTTGCAAATGTGGTATTTGGCTAGTAGAGAATGGAATCTTTTGGCAGATTCACATAAAGTGGAGCGCTGATAGATTCTTACATTTATTCCTATTTTAGCCTGCCCGAGATTCTTCTGCAAAGAACACACCAAAATCAAACCAGAATGGGAAAGATTCCAAGCTGGGAACACCCAAGTCAAAAGTAGGTATAAATTCCTTAATACACCGGTATTCATCATTTGCCTGCAAATTTGTAAAATAATTGGGAATTATTTGAACATCTGTTCACTACAAACTTATGGAAGTTAGCTGTGGAATTTCAATACCTGATTTAAAAAAGCTCTCACATGTAACAGGAGACAAAAACTAGAATTCACATTAATGTAGTTGATGAAATGACCATGTTTTTAGAAGGACTGTATATCTGGACTTCTTGTACAAGCTAGACAGTTGTGGTTGTACACCTTGACACCTTTTACCCCTGTCTAGCGGATGCAACATTATATTGGCACAAGGGCATTTGCTACTTGGTTGTACACACCGTTTGCCTTACGCAGCAGAAAATAAATTGGTGTTAATAATCTGAATCTGAAACCAAAGCATATAGTATAAACACAAGGCATTGGGCACAATGACCAGATAGTAAATACTATGTTGTCATATTGTTGAGAAATGTAATTAAGTTGCTCTGTTTTAGACTCCGGAGTCTCATAAAGAGAAGAAACCACAGAGTCCAAAAACACCAAAAACCTTCACCGTAGATGAGATGAAAGCAAAAATGCAGGCAAGCGTACAAAAGGTAAGTTTACTGGCTACCTGGCTAGTAGAGATTGCCTTACTGAAAATTTTAATTGCTGCTGAGCTCATAGTGGCAAGGAAGATGTAAATCCTTTGTTCAGGTACTGAATGTAAAATTTTTGATATGCTTGAATTTTAATATAAGTGGTGCAGAAGCCCTTTATATGGACTGCTTGGTGAATGTACCAAAATCTAATAGATATAAAATTGCAGGAAACTTGACGGTCTGTTTTATAAGAAAAAAAATGAGTTCTTGGGGGAAATAGCAATATGAAATACTTTTCAAAACTAACCTTCTGTTCTAAGAACATAGATGTTTAATTAGTCAACACGCACACAGTTATACCATTGAGTATATTTATTAAAATGTTTAAAGGGTGAGACCCAACATAATATATGAGGGAAACTGCTTGTTTCTCCTTCCCATTGTATGCCTTCAAAATCTGATCCAGTGGGTTTGGGTTTCTGTCAAGCACATGGGGGGAACTTCGGGGGGAAGGGAGGCAAGTAAAACGCAAAATACCATTGTACAAGTGGATTTCTGTTGTACAAGCAGGCAGACTTCATTGGATATTGCCCTGCGTGGCTTTGTTTCGGTCGTACAATTATTGCAAAGGTACCAATGATATAGGGGACGTGGGTGGCGCTGTGGGTTAAACCAAAGAGCCTAGGACTTGCCTATCAGAAGGTTGGCGGTTCGAGTTCCCGCGATGGGGTGAGCTCCCGTTGATCGGTTCCTGCTCCTGTCAACCTAGCAGTTCGAAAGCACGCCAAAGTGCAAGTAGATAAATAGGTATTGCTCCGGGGGAAGGTAAACGGCGTTTCCGTGCACTGCTCTGGTTTGCCAGAAGCTGCTTAGTCATGCTGGCCACGTGTACGCCGGCTCCCTCGGCCAATAGAGCGAGATGAGTGCCGCAACCCCAGAGTTGGCCATGACTCTACCTAATGGTCAGGGGTCCCTTTATCTTTACCAGTGATATAAACAGACTACAGAGTGCTGCACACAAAGTGTATCTGTTTACCAGTTGGATAAATTGATGTGTGCTGGCGAGGAGGTGGTGAAGTTGAATACTGAAACTGTCAGCATTGCAAATAAATGAAGGAAGGTTTTATTATCTGGACTTAAATATCACAAAGACCTCAGCATTAAGCGGAAATAAACATGCCTTGCAGAAAAAGCTCAAAAAAATAGTTTCTATAATGCATTTTAGTGGTAAATAACTACGCTAATCTGTTGCATGTTATCATTATACTCAAGCTATATACAGTCCTGCCCGGTTGAATACTGGGAACTGCTTGAGTAAATATGTACAGGCTGAAAATACCATAGTTGCTGTAGGTGCAAGATTAACAGTCCTGAACTTGCATGTTGCAGTCATGTCAGTAAATACAAACTTAATTTTGCAACTTGGGTTTGTTTGTGAGAAATCCACATATTCTGATTCCGAACTTTTGAGTTTTGTGTTCTTCAGAAGCTTTGTTTCATTAAGCTTCTCACTACTTCATGTTAATCCCCTTGATTGTATCTGTACTTCTACATATACAGTTATTTCATTTCATGCAAAAAGATGGAGGAATCTAAGGCACGTGAAAAGCAACAGGATTCAGGCGAGTTGCTTGTTTCATTGTGCAGCCAAATGCTATAATCACAAGCACCACTACCCCAATTTCTGATTTTTCCACCCCAACTGGGCAAAAAAAAATGCTGAGGAAAAAATTTCTCCCCTAGGCACTCAGATCTTACATTTCCCCTATTCCTGCAATCTCACTAGAACAAATGTTGTCCAGTGAACAGGAATTGGCATGCTTTGTCTCTGATAGTAGCAAAGGTCCTCCAGAATGTTGCATGTGAATCAGATTATCTTAAAATTTGTGTAGTAATTTATTTCCATGTACCACACAGGCTAAAAGTCTTTCAGCTCCTTGTGTCAATCTTACGTTTCACTGTTATTTTTTTTTTTGCAATAGGGAACTAGTTTGCCTAAGGTGGAGGCCAAGTTTGTGAATTACATTAAGAATTGTTTCAGGACAGAGGACCAGAAGGTAATGGAATCAATCAGGTCTTGATAAAATCGCTAGAATAAATTGTTGCCCCCTTTCCCAATCACTTTCCACACATTTTAGAGCTTCAGCTACAAGCAGTACTTGGACTAGATAAATGGAAGCTGTTTGTGGGAAAGGAAACATTTTTCTCCATTTTGATGGCCGGTGTCTCTTCACTTTTAAACCCACAGGATTCTCCAGCCCCATTTTGACCAAGTAAAATGGTGTTGTGGTTTTCTACTGCTGAATTTGGCTAGCCTTCCCTTCAGTTTCCTTTTTGCAGGGAAGAACTACTGCGCTAGAACCTTTGGCAGTCTTGATGCTTTCCTTTCCCAAAGTCAACCAAATTACTGTGTGACAGCATGCCAGGAGGCGGTGGTGCTGGTATCAGGAAGCAAGCTGTATTGGGTTAGACCTGTAAATCTTAAATTTCACTATCAAAATTCCTTAAACAAAATTGTTATGCTTTTCTGCTTTCCCCCCAAACACTTCAAAGCTGTCGGGAGGGAGAGGGTGGTGGAAATTGTGGCCCGTTGAAGGGAGAATGTTTGAAAGCAGCTAGTTCAGCTACTGAAGTGGATTTGGACATAAGGCAGGGCAGGCAGAGTTCAGACAGTATTTGCCTAGCTGAGACACACCCTTCCTTTTGCTTTCCTTTACTATGCTTTATAGGGTGTGAGCAGTCTTAAAAGGCAAAATATATTGGGTAATTTTAATCTTGGTGTACTGAGTGGTGTACTTGGTAAGCATTTTTTTTATAAAATTAGCACAGACTTGGATTTCATATACACTTGTCCTGCTAACTGTACCTAGATGAAAGAAACTTTTAAGTGGAAAATTCCATGCCCATAAATACTTTATGCAGATCATTTATTGTTTTAAATAGCTTTTCTGGTGCTTAATGCAATTTGTACTCTAAAGGAAGATCAAGACGGAACTAACCTTTTTTATTTTTGGTGTGTTTTAGGTTATTCAAGCACTCTGGCAGTGGAGGCAGACTCTGTGAGCAAGAAGTTAACAAATGACTCCTTTCAAAGTTTCAGTTCTGTGTGTATAACCATTAATATCTGGCTGTCCTTTTTATAAATGCTAAAGCTTTCCCTACAGAGTCTTGATTAATGTCGTCCAGAATGTTTTGCCAAGAATGTGTTGTCCAAAATGCCTGTTCGGTTTTTAAGACCAGGACTCCACCCTTTTAATTTCAAATATGTATGGAATGTTTTGATAATGCATAGTAGTGGTGGTCAAAAATGGAAATGGGGAAACTTAAATGTAAATGTGAAAATAAAGTTTAGTATTTTAAGTAGCTTTGCTGCTTTTTTTGTTGGATTGAGCTTTTCTCCCATACAAGTTGCAGTACACTCATACAAACAGGGTTCCTTAATCACATTTTCCGAAGAGCATGAGGTGTGGAATTCCTTTCAGAATGGTATTTTGACAGTTCCTGATCCTGCTGGTTTTATTTGTTTGTTTATTGTTGGCATCCGTCTGCCTTGAGAGACAATGAAGAGTGCACCTCTAGGGTTGAAGTCACAACTGCTGGAGGATCCCTGTTGCCTTTTCGATTCCCGTGTTTTGGCAAGGGTTTTCTAAATTCTGTATTGAGCTGTATCCCAGTGAATGCCAAAACATCTTAGAAGCTGGCTAGGTCTCACGATGTGAACCAAGGAAGGTTAGGGGTTTTTTTTGAAGAAGAGTTTGGATTTGATACCCCCGCTTATCACTACCCTAAGGAGTCTCAAAGCGGCTAACATTCTCCTTTCCCTTCCTCCCCCACAACAAACACTCTGTGAGGTGAGTGGGGCTGAGAGACTTCAGAGAAGTGTGACTAGCCCAAGGTCACCCAGCAGCTGCATGTGGAGGAGCGGAGACGCGAACCCAGTTCACCAGATTACAAGTCTACCACTCTTAAACACTACACCACACTGGCTTTTGTTTGCAGCTCTCTTACATAGCACGGTCAATGTACATGTAGACCATAGTGGTTTTTTTTTGGGGGGGGGGTTTAAATCCTTCCTTAAATGTTTGCTTAGGAGGTTGGATATCTGCTGATATATCTGTACAGGCTTTTATGCACTCATCCATTCCTGTTTATCATGTATTTGTAGAAGTGCCCCAAAGTCTTCCTGGCAAACTGAAACTTCTCATTCTGTGTTTCTTGTGCAAGGAGGCAAGACCCAAAAGAACGAAACTGCACAGGCCTTTTTTGGGACTGTAGGGACAGTGTAGAACTTGAATGAAAATGCAGAACATCTCTTAAGATAATAACTTGTACAGAGTTTCAGTATGCAGAAAGTACGATTGGGAGTTGAAGGGAGGAGATGCCTGGCTGTGCCTTTCTCCAAGTGTCTCGAGTTCATGCTCAACTGCAGCCAGAGTGGAATATGTAATGGACATCTCTTAATATAACATTTAGTAGTAGTAATGGAGGAAATGGCGTCAGTTACAGTTGATCTAGTACAGTCAACTTGTCTGACCAAAACTGCCAGATGGTGGAGGCTACAGTGACTGAGCAATTCCATGTGACAACCTAATTGTGACCATAGTCTAGTGCTTCTTGCTTTGGGAGCAAATTTAGATTGTCTTTGGTGGTGGACTGAAGGCATCAAATTAACTTCCTAGAAGCAGTATTTTCACAAAACGAAGTGTATGTTCTTTTTACTGAACGAATCCTGCAGAGCTCAGTGCTGGCTAGTCCCTCTTGAAAATATGCTCACGGCGCTCTACCCAGCTATGGATCTTTGAAACCTCTGCCACTCATGCAATCCCTGACTGTCTTGTAAAAAACATGATTTGGTTTACTCTGAGTGCTCCAGTTCCAGCCATGTAAAATCCTGCATTTTGTTCCTCTGGTTTTCTGTTTCCCTGCCCTCATGGCATGTAGCATGCCTAGTCCTCTGGGCTGTTTCTGGTTTTGTTTTTTGTCCCCTTAGGTTCGCTCTATATTTGTATAGTTTGAATTCCTCCAACTGTGCTGATACCATTGTAACAGAAACAGGACCACGAGAAACAAAATTCTCAGTATTGTACTCAACAGCTGAGTTTGTTAATACGTTCTGAAGCTTTAGTCAGAGTAGGGAATCATGTATCAATTTATGTTTATGTGAACTTAGCTGCAGGAACTCATGCCCTCACCCCCAGCCCATTTAGTTACAATGAGGTAGGTTGGTGGAGAGGTCATGGTTGGACCATGGTCACCCTGTGCATTGCTGTGGTTGAGTGGTGACTTGAAGCCACATCTCGGGGGCTAGTTGAATCAAACAGGTACAGTCATACCTCGAGTTGGATGCGCTTTGGGTTGAGCGTGTTCCAGTTGCGCTCTGCGGCAACCCGGAAGTAACGGATCCCGTTCGCATCCCGAGGTACCACTGTGTTTCTCACCACCATGAGAGCTACACAAAGACCAATTGTCTCTTGTAGACCAAGCAATGGCAACTATTATTAGGTTACCCCTTCATAACGTAAAGTGTTGTTTTATCACCCTGTTCAGAGATACAAAGCGGGCAGATGATATCTATTAAAAACACTGGGAAGAGCTCACAGAATGGAAATAAATGGAAAATCCCATCACGTTAACATGGGAAGACAATAGTGCTCTTGGGGTGACAAGATCACTGCAGTGGGGTTTTTTGAGGGGTGGGGTAGAATATATCAGTTCAGTACATCTTGGGGTGTCACTCGAGCATGTAGTTCAACACCATTAGGATGGCCTATCCTTCACTGGCTGAAGTGAGCACTCTCAGTTGCACAGTGCTTTTCTCCAAAGGAAACCCCCAAAATAGGTGTATTCGGGGTGGGAATTGATCATGCTGCCCAAAAGAATACCACAGTGGGGCTCTTTCCAATCATCCCAAACACAAATGTTGGAGACGTGTACAGTCCTAGTCTCTGGGTATAGGGCATTATATAAATTCAACAAATGATGATAATATAATCTGTAACCTAAATACAGCTATGAAGAGTCCTAACTAGTTTTTACCCACATTTGTTCAGAAGGTTCCTGAGAACTTGAATTTGATAATACTGGAGCCCCTGGTTGTTTCTATCTGTGTGAGATGTAAATCAGTTATGCTAGAGCTATCTGCCGTGCTTCCCTCAAGTACTATATCATTCTTGAAAACAGCAGGAGATTGCAATAGGAAAATATTTTGAGTGCTCTACTTTTTTGATTATGGGTTTTCCCTTGTGAAACACTAATGGTTTTAGAAAGAAAAACCTAAGAAAATATAGAAAGGGCCAGGGAGGGAGTTGGGGGGGGGAGTTTTTAAAGGAATACATGTGACCTCATTACAAAATGGAAAACTCCCTTTCCCCACATTCATTGAGTTACTTAGTTGACGTTGACCACAATCTCATCAATCTGTTGATGGAACATGCCACTTAGTAAATTAGTACTGTCTGAAAAACCTTAATTGTAAGTCCACAAGGGGATGAGGTTAATCTAAGATCCCACCTCTTGAATGTCAAGTTACAACAATAAAAGGAACTACAAGAAATGGACAGATACACATATAATCATGTGGGAAATTGTATTGTTTGACGTCACTAATGGGTAATGATTCTAAAGACAGAAGGTAGCTGATTCTAAAGACAGAAGGTAGCTGTGAATAACCCCTTGAAAGGATACGTGGATTTTGCTTGCTAGTAGAAAAGCAGTTTAAAAACACTGATAGTAAATATAGAGGCAAATTTATTCTTTTCTGGCTGTAAGTGATATAGAAGCTAATCACTTTGGATTAAAAAATAAAATCAAGCAAAATCGTATTTTGCTTTTTGGTAGCAGAAGGCCTCTGTCAGAAAAAGGCTTTTGATCCAGTTGAAAATTCCACTCATGGAAGGAGGCAAATTTTGGTTGATTCCTGTGTCCCTGATTTGTGCCATCCTCTAGCAGATTTTCAGAAGCTGCGAAAGGCTACAAGGAAGAATGATTGAAATTTGCTTCCTTTGCCCTCAGCTGGTGGGACAAGGGTCGTATTCAACACAGTGCTGAGCAGAACAACACCCTTGTACACCCTAAATATGTTTTAGGTTTTCTCCTAAGCCTCCAGAGCAGATCTGGGGTCAGTGTGGGGCAAACACGTGAGTAGCACTATTTAACTGAATACCCCCTTCAGTCTCTATCCAAGCAGCTGTTAACTCCCCCCCCCGCCTTTGAATGCATGCCCCTAGTTCCAGAGGTACTTTGGTAATTACAAAAGTTGAGCCCTTAAAAACCCAGAAGGGTAGCCATGTTACTCTGTTGGCAGCAAAAGCAACAGGAAAACCATCCAATCATAGATCTGTAGAGTTGGAAGGGTCCACGATGGTCGTCTAATAAACTCCTTGAGATCCAGGAATCTTTTGCCTAAAGTGGGGCTCAAACCCACAAATCCCTGAGATTAAGAGTTTCATGCTCGACTGACTGAGCCATCCCAGGTGCTCTTGTGGCACCTTACAAACTGAAACAAATATTACGGCATATACTTTAGATGGGTTACACCAAATGCATGAAGTGCTATTCTTGAGTTGCTGGTATACATTCACACGGAGGGGGAAAGTTAACATGGAGGGGAGGGATTGTAAACAGTGAGATCTCAAGGTCCTGCCCCCTGCAAACAACAACAACCCCACTCCCTGCATCTGGTAAAGCACGAAGGTGTCAAGAACTCCCTTACTGATTTTTTAAAAATGTTTTGGAGCTCCCTTCAAAAAATTCCTCTTCTGGATTTTTCCCTTTAAAGTTTTAGGCAACAGCAGTTCAAGACTATTCCTTTCTATCCATCCACTCTGGGCACTGCAGTGTACCCCTTGCAGAGTTACATACCCAGCAGCCCTTTGCAAACTACAGTTCCCAGAATTCTTTGAGGGAAAGAAGGCGCTTTGAAGGTGCTTTAGAGGTACAGTGTGTACCACAACCTCAGGGAACAATCTCATTTTTTCCTGCTTCGTTTTCTGTCTCTTGCTTTGCTCTTCATCAGCCTTCTTGCACTTGTTCCTTTGTTTTCCATTGTTTCTCAACTTTGATCTGATGCGAGCCACCTTGTGGTTGTTTTTATTATTATTTAAAGGTGGAAATACAGTGCACAAATGTTTGAAATGAAACAAATTAGTTGTACAGCATTCTTTGGATATATTTTAATAAACAAAGCCCAAGGCAGGCATTAAAGTGAGAGAGCCTGTGTCTGTGTGTGTTTATATGTTTTAATGAACTCTTCATGTGAAGCCCTTCTGGTCAATAATTTGAAACACTACTTTTTTAAAAAAAATCAGGCGCATCCATGTTTAAAATTGCCAAGGAAGTCCCATTCCATTCAATAGGAACCACTTCTGAGTAGATATTATAAGGGCTGCAATGTAAAAGAGCTGCAAACTTCAAATGTTAGTATTGTTTAAAAGCTTGGGGGAATATTCTTTATACATACATATGTAGTAGTGATGTATGGAAGTGAGAGCTGGACCATAAAGAAGGCTGGTCGCCGAAGAATGGATGCTTTTGAATTATGGTGCTGGAGGAGACTCTTGAGAGTCCCATGGACTGCAAGAAGATCAAACCTCTCCATTCTCAAGGAAATCAGCCCTGAGTGCTCACTGGAAGGACAGATCGTGAAGCTGAGGCTCCAATACTTTGGCCACCTCATGAGAGAGAAGACTCCCTGGAAAAGACCCTGATGTTGGGAAAGATGGAGGGCACAAGGAGAAGGGGACGACAGAGGACGAGATGGTTGGACAGTGTTCTCGGAGCTACCAGCATGAGTTTGACCAAACTGCGGGAGGCAGTGGAAGACAGGAGTGCCTGGCATGCTCTGGTCCATGGGGTCACGAAGAGTCGGACACGACTAAACGACTAAACAACAATATATATCTGCATGGGTTCCTATGCCTTGCTCATAGGAAGGCTGATAGGAAAGACTAAAATGATTTCATTTATGACTCAAACCAGTGGCATCTTTTGGAATGCTCTGGGTCAAGGGAACACAATTTTAATATGGCGTAGGGCAGAAATGGGGCAGTGGTGAAATGCTCAATGTTACTTCAGGCAACACTGCTTCAATAGACAATTGAGCTTTCTTGGTTTGGTAGACATTAGTTTTAAAATTTTAATTAAATTTTAGTAATACCGAAAAAGAAATGCACTCTACCGGTGCAAAGACATACAAAGACAGTATCTTATAGATTTGATACTGTCATTGCAATTTTTAAATTTTAATTTCGTTTGGTAGACATTAATTAATCATTTTGCTGGCAGAGGTTGAGGTGAGGGCGAGACCTACCTGATTTGATGTTTTTTTTGGGAAAGGTAATATGGCTAAGGAAGGGATATGGGTGGCGCTGTGGGTTAAATCACAGAGCCTAGGACTTGCCGATCAGAAGGTCGGTGGTTCGAATCCCCGCGACGGGGTGAGCTCCCGTTGCTCGGTCCCTGCTCCTGCCAACCTAGCAGTTTGAAAGCACGTCAAAGTGCAAGTAGATAAATAGGTACCGCTCCGGCGGGAAGGTAAACGGCGTTTCTGTGCGCTGCTCTGGTTTGCCAGAAGCAGCTTAGTCATGCTGGCCACATGACCCGGAAGCCGTACACTGACTCCCTCGGCCAATAAAGCGAGATGAGCGCCGCAACCTCAGAGTCGGTCACGACTGGACCTAATGGTCAGGGGTCCCTTTACCTTTAATATGGCTAAGTAATATACTCAGTAATATGGTTGAAAAGATGGAAGATAGGTCTGGAAGGCTAGGAGGAAGAAATAAAGTTTAAACTGTTGCTAGGGGAGGAGGAGAAAGAGATGGCAGGATTGGATGAGACCCCTTCAAGGCTCGTCCACCTTCCGGATCCTCAGTTCCCAGGATGCCACACTGGCTCAGACAAGGAGCTGCACAATTTATGCTGAGGGTCATTGCAGGGGACTGCTGAGAGGCGAAATTCATGCAGAATAGTCAAAACTCAAATATGCATCGTCATCTAATAAGAAAGGCTGCAATCCTGACCCTTCTTACCTGACAGTAAGTCCAGCTGAATTAAATGGAACTTGTTCCTGAGTAGACACTGTTAGGATTGTAGCATTATTTGTATTAGATATTGATACAATGATTATTTATTTATTTATTTTTACAAAATTTAAAAAACAAGTGCTCAATTCTCCCAATTACTGGCCAGAAAAAGGCAAGACAGGAGCAGTTTTGCTTCTTGCTAAGCAGTTGGGTGGAAGAATGTTTGCAAATAAAAACCACACACTTCCATTCCACTGTAGGACTCCCGTGAGTTTTACAGCAGAAGCGTTAGGAAATCTGATCATAACTGGTTGGATTAATTTCAGAAGTTGACATTTGAGAATCCAGGTCCTCAGTGCACGCCATGAGATGCTCATTTGAGCCTTGTACATCATGGCAAGGATGAACAAATGCTTGTTTATGGAAGGGCTAAAGGTAAAGGGACCCCTGACCGTTAGGTCCAGTCGTGGGCGACTCTGGGGTTCCGGCGCTCATCTGGATTTACTGGCTGAGGGAGCCGGTGTACAGCTTCCGGGTGATGTGGACAGCATGACTAAGCCGCTTCTGGCGAACCAGAGCAGCACACGGAAACACCGTTTACCTTTTCCCCAGAGCGGTACCTATTTATCTACTTGCACTTTGACGTGCTTTCGAACTGCTAGGTTGGCAGGAGCAGGGACCGAGCAACAGGAGCTCACCCCTTCGCAGGGATTCGAACCGCCAACCTTCTGATCGGCAAGACCTAGGCTCTCTGGTTTAATCCACAGCGCCACCCGCGTCCCCATTTATTCATTTATTCTGAAAAGAAAAAGCTGCCCTATCTGGCGAAAGGCAATAAAAGATTGTGATGTTCATGGATCCAGGTCTTCTGGGACGCTTCTTGACTGTGCAGGCTTTGGGAGATATGCGAATTGTGCCCTCTCCTGCCAAAATAAGATCTAGATAATGTTTTGCGCAATGTCTCATAACTTCTCAACTTGTAACTTCTCACCTCACCTCACATGGTGCTGCCCTCAGATACCTGTGCATTAGCTTGTCTAGAAAGCAGAGACAAAACATCTAAGTCAGGAAAGCTGCATGGAATATTGCTATGGTACCAGAGTCCTCCTACTGGCTACCAGTTGGTTTGGTGGGGCTATACTCCACTCCACAGAGTTTAGGGTGGAATACCTGAAGGAACGCCTTCCTCCATATTTACCTCCCTGACTTTGGAAACCAGCAACTGGGGACTTCCCCTACAGCCAGAAGTCAGAATGCTCATACCCAGGAGTAGGGCTTTGTTTGCGGTGGCCCCTTGGCTTCCCTCCCATTAGAAATCTGTCACATCTGTGAGCTTGGTACTCTCAGATCGATCATGAAGACTTTTCCTATAGCTCTCTGGAATTTGCTAAGCAATATTTACTCTGGCTACAATGCCAAGGTCTGCTCGTTTTACGTTTTATGGCTTAAAAGTAAATAAATCCACAGATAGCATTCTACTTTAATTATGCTATGGAAGCGGGATGTAATTTATTTATTTATTTTAAAAAAAAAAGTTAAAAAAGAAGAAGAGAACATGCTTTTTAAAATTGTGAACTTGGTAGTACAAAGGGCAAACAGCTGCCTGCCCTGCTGAATGATGTCAGGTGCAGGAAGGGTGGAAGGAGATGGAATCCTTTTCTGTACTTCTCATTCACATTCCTAAGCCCTGATGCAATGGGGCATCCAGTAGATGTGAAGGGTTTTTCACTCAAGCATGCTATTAATTCCTTGGGCCTACTGAATACATTTCATACTGTGTGAAACGTCTGGTAGTTCAAGTGACGCTGCGGACCAGTGGAGCAGAGAAAGTGAATTGCTTCCCCCCCCCTTTTCACTTTTAGCAGGGGGATTCCTTAACGGCCGTGTAAGCAGAAGATGCCGTGGATCAGGCTTGGATTTGAATTTGTCGAGGAAGGGTTACTAATCCAACACGCCTCCAAAAAAGACGCCCTTTGAACACAGTATTAAATCGGGACTTTTCAAGCGGCTGAAACAAATTAACACTGTTTAGAGAGTTCTGCTGCTGAAGCCTTGGCCCTGGGTGAAATTTTACGGGCTACTGTAAACTCTCTGCCGTGCATTTTCTGAAAGGTGGAAGGTGGACCTGATGCACATTCACAAAGGCCTGGGAATACAGGTACTGTGTGTGTGGAAGCCATTTTTTAAAACCGTGTTTCAGATCATATGTTTCTTTGCCAATCGTGCGTAGGCTTTGCCAGTTCAAACCTCCATTCCCAGACATCAATAGAGGCAGAGGCAGCAGCAGGGCCAGACTCTGGGGTCATCGTGCAACACAACCCTTCACATGGTTCATGGTTCGCTCAGAATGATTCATGGAGAAGGGCTTTGGTTCAGTGGTACAGCCCTCGCTTGACATGCAAGGAAGTCTCAGCCTCATTTGCTGGTATCTCTAGCATGTGGGAAATCGGGTCCT